ATTAATTCAGTACAAAGTGTAATAGCCACTTGTAATGTTAATGATATTGCAGCAGTACATTCAAGCAGACTTCCTGATGATCAACGTATAAATAGACTGGAGAAAGCTGTACAAGCCTTACTTCCTTCTTCCATTTCAAGTCGCGTTTTCAAATCATTTATCTGTTCTTCAATTGTTCAATAGTTTATCACCAATCGAATGTTTATTTTCGCTAAGCAAAAACTTAACTTCTTTTTCCATCTCAGTAATGCTTGATGAACGCGAATTATTATTCTTAACTCCTTCTAGCTAATCTGCGATTTGACTTTCTCAAATCCTTTATTTTTGAATTGGCCAAATCAAGTCCATTTAAATCTTTCCCATGTTGCAATTTTAAACTATCATATAAATATGATTTCTCTTCATAAGTTTCAATGTGTTTACCTATAACAAACATTTTATCAGAGAGTAATTGTACTTCCCTTGACAGATTATCTGTGTGAAGTCGATATTCTTCCAGTTCGCTTGTCATACAATTTTGCTTCTATTTTTATTATATTTTGCTTTCCCCAAATTGCTCTACATCTGTTATATCGATTATAGTACTTGATGTTGTTATATCGATATTACCTGAGACTATCTATCCCAAAGAAGTGTCTTGTAGAATCATTCCATTGATTTTTTGAATTTTCGTTTGTAAAATTTTAGGTATAAAATATGCTCCAATAATAATGTCGATTCTGCAATGATGAAATAAGGATCTGCTAAAATATACTTGTTTAATTTCATTGATGATATTTTGATTGAATTTTAGGTATTAAATATGCTCCAATTATAATCTCGATTCTGCAAAGTTGAAACAAGAATTTGCTAAAATATACTTGTTTATACTTGATGATATTTCAAATGATTTACTTGGAAGAGATTTATGTAACTTTGGCATTACAATGGCTTCCATTTCAATTTTCCTGTTGCTTTGGAACCGCGGTGAGATTTCTATATTTACTTTATATTTTGATAACTCTACATGTTCAGATGAAAATTCAGTGATATTTGTTGTTTACTTGATCTTCGGTAATCTAAGAATTTACACTGTTTATTCTGATACTAATGTTGTTTGGGATCCGCTATCTACTAGAGCTCTCAATAATATTCTCTCTGCTCCTACTGTTTTCGCACTTACCATAGCCGTAACAAGAAGAGTATCTCTATTTATGTTAGTGTTCATATTTGTTGATAATTTTTCGATTTTTTATTTTCTTTTTGTTGATGTAACAGCGTATGATGATTTCCTTTACCCTCTTCACATAACACTATTTTGTGGAGTCATGATTCATACATTTGTGACATACATTGTGACCGAAAAGTTTTCGGAGGTTCTCATTTAAAATTCGCGCGCTGTATATTTTTCGATATTTTAAGTTTATGTAGTTTGGCAGCACTGTCCTTAATTACTATGCCAAAAATGAGCGCGATCTGTCAGACAGTTCGTTTACGGCAGCTGTTGAAACCAAGTCACCTCAGTAGTGCGTTGCGAAAAAAACAATGGAAAAAAATATTGAACAAAGAGTTTGCATCAAATTTTGTTTTTCGAACGAAATTTCGTGTGCAGAATCGTTGCGAATGCTACAAAAGGCTTATGGGGAATCAGTTTTATCGAAAACTCAAGTTTATGAGTGGTACAAAGCCTTTCAGGACTGTCGTACGACCGTCGAAGACATGCCGCGTTCTGGACGACCTTCGACCTCTACCACCGACGAAAACATTGAAAAGGCAAAGGAAATCGTGTTCAAAAATCCTCATGTGAGTGTTAGAGAGATAGCACGAGAGCTAGGCATCGGTCGTGAGATGGCTCGTTTGATTTTGGTGGACAATTTGTGTATGCGACGTGTCAACGCCCGGCTTGTTCCGATTCACCTCAATTTGTTCAACATTATCAACGATTTTAAGGCCAAACATTCAATAAATACCATCGAACAGCCACCGTATTCACCTGATCTTGCACCGTGTGACTTTTTCCTGTTTCCCAACCTCAAATTACCACTCAGAGGAACGCGTTTTGAATCCATAGAAGACGTAAAACAGAATTCGCAGAGGGAACTCAAAGCCATACCGGAAAGCGCCTATAAAAAATGTTTTGATAATTGGAAGAAACGTTGGCATTTGTGTATCGCTTCTAATGGAGCATATTTTGAAGGAGATAAAATAAATATTGATGAAGATTAAGAATTTTGCGTTTTATTTAAAATTTCCGGAAGCTTTTCGGTCACAATGTATGTTTAATTTTATCAAGATTTTCTTGTTTTCATTTAGCGTTAATTTTTTAAATGTGGAAAATTTCATTACGAAATATCTTGGTTTATTGCAATATTTACAAAGTTAATTATTCTGACTTTCTCGGGATTTATATAGAGGTTGTCCTGCAGCTTATTTGGATGTAAATGAAGATTGCAGTACATTTAACAATTTTTGGCAACATTTAATTTTTGAACTTCTCTGTTTTTTTATGATGTGTTCATATTGCTACTTTACTTCTCCTTGGAATTTTCTTAACGCAAATTGTGCTAAGATTACATCAGCTTCATTATTTATTGCTGCGGTTTTATTAAAAATAAAAACAAAAAATATTTATTTTATTGCAAACATAACGGTAAATTTCACAAATACGGAAAAAAAAATTACGTTTTATTTTTCTTTTTGTTTAATTTTGATGATTAGAAGTATAAATTTATTATTAGTTGCGTTTTTATTATTGTCAGTTCAAGTCATTATTGTAATCTGAGTCATTATGGGCATAGGAAAAGTGCCAAGCTTTAAAATTTTGGTAATTAAGCGCTATCAAGAAGGTACATCCCATCGAGAAATAGGAAAATAATTTAATGTTCTATTTTGAAGTGTCCAAAATATCATTAGAAAACACAAACAAAATGATTCAGTGAAAAATATGTCTAAAAGCAGACGACCAAAAACACTTTCTCGTCGAGATGTTAACTTTATCCTGAAGGAAGTGTATAAGAATCTGTTACAAAAAGGTAGTTGAGTAATAAGGAGTACAAACACGCGTTCAACATTCGGTAGTAAAGCAGTCATAGAAACTCAATACGGTTCGACAAAATATTTAAGTATTATATTTTGTTGAAAATTTTGTCAATTTCATCATTATTTCGTTTTTGTTAAATTAACCGTTACGTAAATATTTTTTGTTTATATGAAATGAGTAATAATTTATGAAATGAAATGAAGTTGCATACTTATAATTTTATTTAAATGTTTATTTTTGTTTAAACTCTGAATTTTCAGGGTGTATTCAAGCTTTTGTCCGTGACTGTACGTGTTGTGAGAAAGCGTGGATCATCCGACGATTCAGTCTTAGATATGTTCTCGTTTGAAGTCTGGTAAATTATTACCAAGATATGTTATTATACCATTATCATAAATTCGTACATGTGGTGAAAATATTTTACTGAGTCATTGATTAAAACGCGAATACGCATTGAACGACTACATTGTAAGTTAAATCGGCGATTGAAAAAAATTAGACCACTATAATTTTAACATATATTTGTCAAAATATTTAAAACTTATTAAAGTACCACCAGGTCATCCTTCCAGATATAATGTATGACTTCGCTAATACAAATTATTGCAAAACCTATTTGTTTAGCATGCTCTTTAAACTACGCCTCAAAATCATATTATTTAAATATTTATTTTGAACAAATAATAATATACCTAATAAGACAAATTATTACTAATTATTACTAATAATCAATAAAATTATAGAAAAAATATAAAAAATATTTTTCAAATTTAATATAGAATTTTATTATATAAGTGAATGAATTTATTTCATTGATTTGTCATTAAAATATCGTGATTTGCCCTTGATACTTTAGCCTTTTATTTATGTCCTTTTATCAAATATTTTAAACGTTTCACTTTACCCAACTTTTTTATGTTTATTTCGAACTAAAATATTTCTTATGTATATTTACTTTTTATTTAAGTATGCTTTTGGTTTTGAAATTTATGGCGCAAATGGGACTTTCTATTTGAAATATATTTATTTGCTAGTTCTGTAGTTTCCTCTCTTGCATTACTGTTAATATTGGCATATGTACAAATAGCGGAAAAAGTCTGCGGTTTTTGTTTTCTGATTTATTGTAACCAAAGAAAAAACAATAAAGTTCGTCTTTGCATGGACTCAACTAGCTTCGCACTATCCTGTACGTTTATTTTTAGCCATTTTTCTTAACATATCCTTGCTGGAAATCGTGTGCTGGCGAATCATATTTTTCAAATAAACTCATAGACTAAGGTCTAGTGATTCTGGTAGTTTTTGAAGTTGCCTGGGAGCATAGTTCAGCAGTCAAATCTGTACGATCGTTGCTGTATGCTTACAGTCGTTGTCTTGCTGAAACCAAAAGGTTGCCTGAAACCCCAACATTCTGTAATTTACTTTTAAATTTGTCTTTATAATATTCAGATACCCATATTTGTCCATTGTGTCATCAAATAAACCTCATATACCATATTTATGCACACGGTTTCCACCGGAAATAATTAACTTGGTGATCCCCCAAGAATAATAATTGTTTGTTTATTTTGCTTAATATATTAACCAAGTAGAATAATAAAAACTATTAATAAATATCATTAGATACTTCAAGCCTTCAAAAATGTGAATTGATCTAAGAATAACGAAATATATATTTACCCAAATGTGTTGGTGTTAACGAATAATAATCTATTTTAATACCGATTTTCATTGTCACAATAATCTCGAAACGACACAGTGACGTAGTGACAAGTTCCCTACCCATTTAAAATCTAATACCGACTTTTAAGATTACCAAAACAGAAGTTTTTCTAAATGCCATATAAATATTCTTATTTACCTTTGCCTGGAAATAAAATTCTGCGCAGTTCAATATCTACACAAACTGCGTGTATCTTCAGATACGGTGCGGGTTATTCAAGCAAAATGTTTCTTTAAAATCTAGAAGATTACTCTAATAACGATATTTTATTGAAATTATAATAAATAGTTTTTATTATCATTTAGTGTTTATAAGTTTAAATACACAAAATTATTTTAGTAATTACACCTTCAGCGTCGAGGAAAAAAATACAGAACATTTTGAAACTTGAATATTTATTGCAATTAGACATAAGATAAACATTTGTCATCTGGTGACTAAAATAATGGTAAAATAATAAAGTCAGATTGTTGAAAGTGAGTAATATTTTATGTGACTTAGACACAATTTTGTTTCGAAGATATTTTGATTTAAACTTTTTGAGTTTCATATAAAATATATTTAGAGGAAAAACCACTACAACATACTACAAAAGTCTGTTCTAATAGAAATTTCTTTTGTCATAAAATATTATAAAAAGAACTTTAGCAGTTAATTGTTGTTCTGTGGTTTTGACCACTCAACACTAAGAATTAAATGATCATATCCATGCCCGTTTAAAATTTCGATAGCAGCAGCCGCATCCTTACGTTGCTTAAAATGTACGTAAGCAAAGCCTTTACATAGGCCAGTATTTTTATCGCGTGCTAAATACATTTTGTTATGTGGTCCAATTTTTTTAACAAGTTCCTCGAGATCAGCTTCAGTCATAGATTCTGAAAGATTTGATATGCGCACAGCAGCAGTATCGTCTCGTCCACGCATTCCTATACCGCCCTTCTGACTATCTTTAAGGAATGGCGGAACATATTTACCAGACTTAGGTGCTTCTACAACTGAAGCAGCAGCTGCAGCAGCTTTCTTTTCCATTAAATTAGTATCCATTGCTGTGCCTTTGTACGGACAATTTACAGACCAATGGTCACCATTACAAATACGACACTTGGCAATATTTTTAGTTGGATCCAGTAATGGGTCGTTAGCTTTTTCTTCCTCTTTAGAATTAAGAAATTGCATAAAAATTTCTTCAGCCATAATTGTTGTTTGTGAATTTGGACCTGGCTTATCATTTTTGGATTCACCAAATTTAGCCCAAGTGCGTCTTTTTGCTACAGTTCTGGGCACCACTTGCTTAGTTATTTTATATGTTCGCACAACTTTTACCTTTTTATCATCTTTGTTGTTCTTGTATTCGGTGACGTATTTACAACCATTTTCTATTGTTTCGGTAGTTGGTGGCAAGCCACCATAATCAAGTTCCACTTCATCGGCCCAAGATGATTTAATCGTTTCTACAGCAGGCATCTAAAAAATTTTAAGTGTTAATTATGTTAAATGTTTAATTTTTAATTCGTTGTGACATTACAATTCAATTATCACCAAAATCTACACACGCCACGAGAAATACAATCGCTAAAGAAAGAATTTCGTAGATGTCAAAAACAAATTAAGCTGAAAAGTGTTTGGAAATTAAGTCAGAATATTTAACCCCTCTGTAAACGATACCAATGACAATCAAATGATTTTCAATATATTAGGTAATAACTACATTAAGGTTTATATATATTATACTTAATAAAATTAATATAATTGCATACCTCGAAATATAGAATATATGTCAAACTGTAATCAAATAATATAAGTTCACGAATATTATTTGTTGAAGTTGATATGATTTTTTTTCTTTTAGTGGCTATTATAAAACTTCTACCGATAGACGACAGACTTTTATCAACTGAGTCGGTTGGTAAGCAAATTTGGTATTATGAAACTTGATAGACAAACATGGGCACTATTGTGAATGATATCAGGATTTTAGAGCGTGCAGCTTTAATCGAACTTATTTTGTTATTTTGGTTATTTTGTGTTCGCTAAGAAATATTAAAATTGAATTCAAATTATTTTTAAAATAAATAAAAATATATTTTATTTATTTGAAATTATTATTTAGTATTACATTACATTAATAAACTAAAGTAATATATTAAAATTAAGCATTAATATTCTAAAAACAAATATGTTTATATATATATTAATTTTAATATTTTTATAATTTGTAGTTATATTTATATTATATGTATATTAAATTAAATTAAATTAGTAAAATCCATATTGTTTTAAGCAGTTGAAGCTTAAGGGGCCGATATTTATATCTTTTGTCGGTATTTTTGATAGCTAATTTTAATTTTACTTGTATTACAGTAAGTTTTTGGTCACAATACTCATGCCTCCCTTCACTAAAATGTTTTCAATATTTTCTAGGCGCTTAAACTATTAAGGTATTAAGCTCTATCGCAATTTTCTCCCACGGTGGTCTGGAATGAGACTTGTTGCTAATGCCTTTCGCAATGTCTGGATATTTCTCCATATATACAACAAGTTTTACTATTTGCTTTTTATTTATTTATTTTTATTTTTATTAATTTTGCTCAATAACAAAATTTATTAATTTTATTATTTCTTAATTTTATATAAATACATTATTCGTTGAAAAATAAGTCTAAGAAATTTGAAAAATGGTTGTTTGTGTGTTGAAAATATTTGAATGAATACACTTAAATAAACAATAAAACAAAACAAAAATGCAACAATCATTATTCTCAATATACATATAACACTACACTTGAAATCAAATACATTAAATATATATTATATTATATTAAATCTAAATGAATTATTACTAACTATTAAATTAGTAATATTTAAGTTATATTAAATTTATATGTTAAATTGACTATATAAAGCGTTTTAACAGCATTTATTTTATACGATCGACAAACTTCTACTGCTCAAATGCAGTATAGAAATTTGTCTACCGCTGATAGAAAAACTTCTATCGGTTTGCAATTCATAATACCAAAATTTGATTTTTTCTACCAGCAGTAGAAATTTTTCTACTGTCTATCAGCGATCGACAATCCATAATATGCACTATTGTTTATCTGAGAAATCATATCAGCGACATTGGTGGCTATTATGAAATGTCTACCGATAGACAATAGACATTTGTCTACCGAGTCGATTGGTAGGCAAATTTGGTATTATGAAACTTGATAGACAAACATTTGCACTATTGTGAATGACGTAAGGGTTTTAGAGCGCCCAGCTTTAATTGAACTTATTTTGTTTGTATTGTGTTCACTAAGAAACATTAAAATTGAATTCAAATTCTTTTTAAAATAAATAAAAATATATTTTCTTAATACGATATTATTATTTAATATTACATTACATTAATAAACTAAAGTAATATATTAAACTTAAACTTTAATATTCTAAAAATAAATATGTTTATATATATATTAATTTTAATATTTTTATAATATGTAGTTATATTTACATTATATATATATTACATTAAATTAAATTAGTAATATTCATATTTTTTTAAACAGTTGATGCTTAAAACACCGATATTTATATCTTTTGTCGGTGTTTTCCATAGCCAATTTTAATTTTTTTTTTATATTACAGTAAGTATTTGATCACAATACTCTTGCCTCCCTTCACTAAAATGTTTTCAATATTTTCTAGGCGCGTAGACTATTAAGCTCAATTGTAATTTTGTCCCACATTGGTTTGGAATGTGTCTTGTTGCAAATGCCTTTCTTTTTTCCATATTTCCAACAAGTTTTGCTATCTGCTTTTCATTGCTCCTCAATTTTTCCCTACAACAATAATTTATTAATTTTATTATTTCTTAATTTTATGTAAATACATTATTAGTTGAAAAATATATCTAAGAAATTTGAAAAATGCTAGCGTATGTTGAAAATATTTGAATTTTAATACATATAAATATATAACAAAACAAAACAAAAATGCAACAATCATTATTCTCAATATTCATATAACACTACACTTGCAATCAAATATATTAAATATATATTATATTATATTAAATCTAAATGAATTATTATTAACTATTAAATTAGTAATATTTAAGTTATATTAAATTTATATGTTAAATTGACTGTATAAAGCGTTTTAACAGCATTTATTTTATACGATAGACAAACTTCTACTGCTCAAATGCAGTAGACAAATTTGTCTACCGCTGATAGAAAAACTTCTATCGGTTTGCAATTCATAATACCAAAATTTGATTTTGTCTATCAGCAGTAGAACTTTTTCTACTGTCTGTCAGCGATAGACAATTCATAATAGGCATAATAAAATGTGTCATCAAGTTGTCCTTTACATTTAATTTTAAAAATCATTTCTATTTACGAAAAAAAACTGTGAAATAAGAACTAGTATTAAGTTTAATAATATGAACATTTTAAAATGAACTATAATAGAAGAAATAAATGTAATTATTACACCAGTCTTTGCAATTACTTCCGCTTTATAGCCGTAATTTTTTCTTACAGAGTAGTAAAAAAATACTCGCAACTTACAAAAGAAAACATGTGAAATAACAACGATGCTCTTATAATCTTCAGAATTCGGTTTTACTCGTTAAAATTTTAAGTTTTAAGTTTCAGTGCACCCAAAATCAATAATTAGTCTATTGTGAATTTTCACTGGAAATATGTTGCAAAACTCCAGTCATCTGTTAAAGCCGTATGCAAAGAATACCTTACAAGAACGGCAACTCCATTGTGAACTAAAATTTGTTTTTTCGCACAACAACAATTTGCCGTAGAGCTCTTGAAAGTGTTAGTGAAAAGTGCACTAACACCAGCTGAAATCACTGAAATTTTTCACCTTTTCACCTTTTTCCGATGCTTCGAGTACTTTTGAGAACAGAATATTTCGAAAAGTTTACCACGAAGAGTATAAGAAAGAGTGTGGTTTTGTTTTTTGGTTTTGATTTTTTGAGAGTAATATACAAATTCATTGCGCCAAATCATACAAAATTTACCGCGCAAATATTTAACAAAAAGTAGTTAAAATTGAAAGTAGTAGCATATTGTGTTATTACTATATAAAAAATAATAAATTGTGACAATAAAGATCAGTATTTATAAAAAATAATAAATTGTGACAATAAAGATCAGTATTTATATAAAAAGATGGGGAAAAAATGTATTAAAGGTTGTAAAGAGTTTAAATCCCTTTATAAATTTCCGGACAACAATGAGGAACGAAGGTAAACTTTGCATTTCAGTTTTACGTAAATTTGTGGCATAAGTGTTTTGCATAATTGTTTTACAGTATATGTGGAATACAGTAAATGTGGAATAACAAATATGGATGTGTTAATTAAAATATTTGTAAGTAGTAATTCATGTTCGTAATGATAAAGCAATAAAATTATAAAAATTTATAATAAAAACACTGATTTTTTGCGAACAACGTTTCCAGATTTTTTTTTTAATATTATTGAAAATATTAATTTCAATCAAATTATATTTAAAATTATTATATAAAAAAACAAAAAATCGTTATAAAAATGTTTTTTATATTTCTTGTAGTTCTTATCCTATACCAGCAAATAAAAATTGAATATGAATCTTACTGATCATAAATGTTAAGTAATCTACAAAATAGATGTTTAAATGTATTGTATTTTCAATGGCATGTATTTATTGAAATTTAATTGTATATCGTATGTAAAAAGTAAATAATTGTTTTTTAGCATATCAATTTGTGTGAAAATTATTGAAACGTCTGCAAAGACAAAACTAACTTTGTGTTATTATTTGTCGTTAAATATGTTTATTTTTTAATGTTGATCCTTTTTATGTAACTACTCAAATATACTTGTTTTTCTTTATAATTAATTAATTTTTTTTTTTTAATTTTTTAATTAATTTTTATTTTTGTATTTCATTTAATTCTGATAATTATTTACCAAATTAGAACAGAATGGATGAAGCGCTTAGGAGTAGTTGGGCAAACTAAATTTATGTTTGCCTGTAACAATCATTTTTCTGCCGAAATGATGTGTTCTGCACGAATTTCTAAATGCGCAATCCCGGACGTTAATTTAGATTTAAGTTATATTAGTAATTTAAATAAAAATGTAATTAACAACGAAAGTAATGTGGAAAATGAAAAGCAAAATCACCTCTCTAGCATAGGAGTTAGTAAAACCTTTGATAGGAGTGAAATTTCTGTTTGTGGAAGAGAGGTCCAAACAGACAATAGTCTTTCTGAAGCAACTCCCAGAAAAAGAAAACTTAACGAAAAATATTCAGAAATTTTAATAAAATTAAAAAAGTTAGAGAAGGTAGTTGAAGAAAAAAATGAAATTATTAAAAGTAAAGAAGTAGAAATTAGGAAAAAAAATGAAAGTTTAGAAAAAATTAAAGAAGAGAACAAAGAGTTGCTTTTAAAATGTAATACTATTGAAAGTGTTACAAGCAATTTAGATGAGAATTTGATAGATGAGCTTTGTAGCAAGCTTCCACAAAATATGCAGGTATGTGTAAGAAATTGTTTTCGAAACAGTAATCGTCATTCACATGGGTATCGCTATGATTCTAAGTTGAAAACAATAGCATTAGGAGTTTATTTCCTTTC